GAACCGACGACCTCAAGGTGTTTCGTACTTAGTCGGATGCTCTCCCTGCTGAGCTATCGCAGGGTAGTGTAGCTGAGGAAGCGAGTGTAGCTGGAAAGCAGCAGCCTGCGGATGCCGTTCCCACTAGCTTGGTGAGTTCAATATCCTTTCCATGAAGGGCAGCCGGTGGGGCCCAGGTTCGATCCCTGCACTTGTCATTTTTAATCTCACATTAATTGTTTCACCTTTCCTCTGGGTAGGTTCGGAAGGTCGGTCGGCAACGGCCGAAGGGCAATTCTGTGGATATGAAGGTTCTGGAGGGAAGAGGAGGGAGTGGAGGGCGCGCAGCTCAGCAACCACGCCCGTCCAAGAGGCCTACCCTTATGGGGTCTTCCACGACTCGAATGGACGGTGAGGGAGTGGATAGGTGTGGAGAGCTGATGGTGTTCGTAGGACCGACGAGGGAGGGTAAGGGTGGAGGGGGAGTGAAGGGGAGTGGGAATAGGGTAGGGGGTAGCTGTCGTCGCGATGTGGCGGTGATTGATCGAGCTTCTTCTCTAGTGTGACGCAGATGTTCAGATGCCTCCGACACGTCGTCCGCCGGCTGTTGCCAGAAGTCGAGAGGAAGTTCATTCAGCTTCCACGCAAGCCACTCGTACTGGGGAGGGTGGGTTGGTGAGGAAGGGGACTCGGAGGAAGGAGGGCGGGCCGAGGCCGGGCCGAGAGGAGGAAGACCCGAGTGAGGGGGGAGGAGTGACATTTTATGTACTGTGGGAATGGTAGGTACGAGGCAGATGTATGATAAGAATACACTAAGAATAATAGGGAGAGATGGTTTTATTAAGGCTATAGCGATATGGAGGAAAGAGAACATGGGTGGTGGGAGAAAGGAGGAGGAGGCTAATGGCGAGCAGCAGCAGCAGGGAGGAGGAGTGCATGTTTGTGTATGTATGTGGGGTTGTTGGGGAATTTCGTGGCGCGCGGTAATTTCTTGTGGCAGTATATGCGTTGTGGGGTAGGTGAGGAAGAGGCCGCTATTCGAAAAGGAAGAGAGTGTTAAGTTGGAGTTCGACGTTGTGAGTTGTGTGGACACGAGTAGTAGAGGGAGTGGTAGTAGTTGTAGTAATACCGACCTTTGATAGATACATTGACATTGCACAACTGCCTTTACCAAGCAGATCTAAAGCGGCCGTTGATCTCCCATCTCTCCTGCCGATTCGCCCGAGTCTTTGACGAAAACGCGGATAATGAATTCGTGTATAAGAATAGTGGATCGCAGGAGATGGTGACACGGTTGAAGAGGGAGAGTTGTTATTTTAATATTGTTGTTGGCGGCGAAATAGTTGAGGAAATTTGATCCACCACAGAATTGAGATTTCGGACGG